TAAGATGAGGCTGGTGAAGGATGCAATGGCCAGGTGAAGGACAAGTTGAAAGCTCTGGCCTTTATCCTAAGAGGCATGAAAAGACTGTAGGAGCTTTTAATGCCAACCCTAGAGCAGAATGTGAGGAGGCCATCCTGCCCTGCTCCCAAAGTAAGTGGCTGGCAGAGGAGGAAAGGCAGGAAGGAAATACAGACTTTGGGAAAGAGATGCTGGCCTGGAATCCACTGTGACTCTGGGAAGCTGAACTTCCCCAGTGTTACAGCAAAAGAGGAACTGAAGGAATTAAATGGAAAGGCAGTCTCATGTCTATCTTACTTTTGAAATCTTGGTGTTATGGTTTAGAAGAAAAGGGAGGTCTCTAGCTGAGTTTCTGGGGATACCAGAATGTCCTGATATGCAGGAGATTCCCTGACCCCTACACCGTGCCAGGTTACAGAAGGATGAGTGGCTTTTCTTTTTTAGTCTGGAAGGGGAAATATGGATCATCCCAGAGAATGGACTGGGAAGGATAAGTCAGGAATATCAGTTCCAGTTCTCAAACTGAAAGATTTATGGGTATTAGAAACAAAATCTAAGACCCCACAAGTTTTTTTCTACAGTGACCCAAGGAACAGTCCGGAGTTTCCTAAAGTAATAACCAGTGTGTTCTACCATTTTTAGGAAGGGCCCAACTCCCCTAAACTGGCCCTGCCTCTCCCAATCTTCTCTTCCCTGACAAATCTCCTCTTCACCGACAGCCTAGTCCTGGACAGAATAGGCCTAATCCTCAGTGTGAGGTTTTATACCTTTGTAGAACTCAGCTTGTCTTAAAAGCTAAAAGAGCAGTGGTTAAGTTCACTGAGCAAGCCCTAAAACCAAAACCGGCCCACAACCAGCCACTTGTTCTGAGGCTTATTTCCCACTAAGGGATCATTTCTGTCCTGGCTTCTGTAGAGTTCCAGCCAAATTCCAAGATAATCTGAAAGATGAACTTTCACTAAGTTTTTCAGCCATTAATTACGTTTTCTATGACCATTTAAACATGGGAAAAGATCATACGGCATACTAGAACTTATTAAGTAGATGAGTAAATGATTTCCTGTTTATTAGCTAATTATTTGCTTTTTGTGAAATGCAGCTTATGAGAAAAGTCAAAAAAAGAAGTTGGCATTGTTTCTCTGTGTAAAAAGAAATGTAAATAATAAACGTTTTTAAAGTAAAGGAATAACTTGTTATAATAGAGAGTATCTAGTTATACTATGGCAATTAACCCCTTTTATAGCAGTGGTGACCACAATTTACTAAGCTGCTATTATGTGTTTGGAGCTTCCTAGAGTCTGAATCCTCCCACCAACCATGCTACATAGGAACCCGGGGCTTAGAGAGATGAGTGAGACTCAAGATTACACATTTTGTTAGTGGCAGAATTGGATTCAATCATGGGTTCACCTGTCCCCAAAGTCTATGCATTTCTTTTTCTTTTTTTTGTAGAGATGGGGTCTTGCTATGTTACCCAGGCTGGTCTTCAACTCCTGGCCTCAAGTGATAGTTCCACCCTCGCCTCCCAAAGTGATGGGATTACAAGTGTGAGCCAATTCATCTGGCCTAAAGTCTATGTAATCTGCACAGGTTTCCTCTCTGCTCTGCCACCACATCCATGCATGTCTGTATAATAATAGCGAACTCATATTAAGCTGTTCCTCTGTGCCTGGCATCGTACATCCTTATAAAACATGTATTATTTAATCCCTATTGTAGAGACAGGAAAATTGAGTCTCAGAAAGTTAAGATTTTTTGCCCAACATCTCACAAGTTTCAAATGGACTTGAACCCAAGTAGTAAATTGTCTTAAAAGAAGTCTTCTTTCCAGCAGGCTTGTAAATTTCAAAGTAAATTGGACGTTTAGTTTAAATTTTTCATTTTTCTGGGAAAACAGAGAAAAAATAGGAAATCCTTCATAATTTCCAAAAGTTTTAGGATAAATAATATGGGAAGAGGCTACATTGCTATGGAGATCCTGGGCCACTTGGTGAAAATGGCTGAATGTTACTATTTTGTGCATTTAATCTACAAATCCAGATTTTACTTTCAAGCTTCAAATATTTTGGAGATATCTGTGGAGTACCGCTTTATGACTAAATTTTGTGACCCGAGATGCTTATCTTACTCTTGCTGCTGACATAACTACACTAGGTTAAATACAGAAAGGGTTTGTAGGTCAACATTCAAGAAAATAATACCCTGAACATGTGATTTTAAATA